ATTGTACTGAGATGAACTGTAACTATGAAGGACCAAATGTAAATGGAAAGGAGCATTTATAAAGGTGAAATGAGTTGTTTTCAGCAAACGTCAAAATGCAAATCAGACCGGATGGTGGAATAGAAGCCTTGAAACTTAAAAACACAGAAAACAGGTAAAAAAAAATCTGATTGGGAATCCAAATTTCTTCAGCCACAAGGCAGAGATTGTAATGAAGGCAAACGGACAAATGCATGTACTGTTGAAGCTAAATTACCTGAATTCATAACATCTATAGGCTCATTAACTTTCAATAGCAGTGTTATTTGCTATTATTCCTCACAGGAAAACACTCACATACAAACTGATGGACCTAAGCTGATCTTATCAACAGTTAAAGCAATGCACCATGTTTGAGCATAAACATAGAAAAGCATCTTGCACATGTCTAGAAAAGGCTGTCTTCGCTGAGACATTTGTCAATGAAGAAAGGAATTGATGGAGAAAATTTGTATTACTTTCATGAAAGGGTGAATATGATGAAGGAAATCAGCATTACAGAAATTGTGTAGCTTCAAAACTGATCAGGACTTTTCTCCAGAGTGGAAAATCCACTTAGTTTCACCTCAACTGATTGAGCAACATTGAAGGAGTTGCCAGAGGCTGTTCTGAAGACTGTTTTGCACATAATGTGATTGTCAGATAAAAGGGAATTCAGAAGAATCCATAACTTTCTTGTCTCTCTGACTCTTAGACGTGTGATTTCTCATGAACACCTTTTATAAACATCATAGAATCATAGAATCATAGAATCATAGGATGGCCTGGGTTGAAAAGGACCACAGCGCTCATCCAGTTCCAACTACCTGCTATGTGCAGGTCTCCAACCAGCAGACCAGGCTGCCCAGAGCCACATCCAGCCTGGCCTTAAATGCTTCCAGAGATGAGGCATCCACAACCTAAATCTCAATCAACAAAGTATCTCAAACTTAAAGTTTTATTCTGTTTCTCATTGCTCCTTGTGAATAATAATAATAATAGTAATAATAATAATAATAATAATAATAAAGCTTTAAAGAACATGTAAATCATCCACCTTCCTGCATTCATCCCTTTTTTATCACAGGAGCAACTCAAACGGGCCCATTTGTAAGGGAGCAGGAACACTTATATCTCTTGTGGACAGCTTTCCTGTAGCAGTAGGCTACTCCTCAACCAATAGCTTCTGCTTATTATTTTAGTCCTTCTTCACAGTTCTTCTATAGTATAAGCAGAACCTAAAACAGCAGAGTCAATGACAGTGATACGGATCCAGTGAAGGCAAAGATTCTGTCGTTATCTAAGAAATCAGAAAAAAACCTTCGATGCCACTTTCCCCTTTGAAGTGAATGAAGCTACATTCGTGTCTGGGGACAAAGCTCACTTGTGGAGGTGAGCTTTCGGCTTGAGATGGAACGTGTGTCAAGAGCAGGACTCAGTGATCCTAGTTGGGTCCCTTCCAACTCAGGATGTTCTATTCCGTTCCACCGTGCTGATTCAAAACATTGCAGAAGTTAATGTTTAATGAAGTAACTCTACTGTGACACCACAGAAATGGGATAAACGTTAATATTCTTGAAAAGCTGTATTCAACTATTTGGAAGGCTGGCATGCTCTCAAGACACAGTCTGTAAATCCATCCAATCAGAAGAGGAATATTTGTAGTTCAGACTTCAGTGGAATGAACTCAGGGTTGTAAATGATGCCAGGCTGTTCAGCAGACTAGTGGAATGAACTCAGGGTTGTAAGTGATGCTAGGCTGTTCAGCAGACTATGTTGGATCTCTTCTAGGAAATGTCCCAAATCTGAGTAATGCCTAATTAGCCATCAAACATGATCAAAAGGGCCCAAATTATCTATTTAGCCTGTCTGAAATATTTTCATTTCAGGTGAAATAAATTCTCTTGGAAGTTCCTATTTCTATTCTCTGTATTTCTGAAAGAGAAGCACTATTGGTTAGATCAGACACAGAAATCTATGGTTTATATCTGTTCAGATGAATGCCACTGTTGATGATGTCTGAGGGCATTCTTTTGGAATGTTTCTCATTCTTTACGTAATGATATCACTCAGACTACTCCCTTATCTCTTGTTTTGAATTGTTTGGAAGACAAAGTCTTTTCACATATTTATATAAAGGCTGTGATATATTACCAATACCATATCTTTACATAGGGCATAAAAGTAGGATGTGAAACCCAAAATCTATTTTAAGAATACATGGTACAACACACACACCAGTTAGTTGACAGATCCAAATGTGCCATAATGCTCATCATGGAGCACCCTCAATTCTTCCATTCTATTTAAGTAGTCATGATTGAGCTGAAGCTAATAGGGGGATACAAGGGAATTTTTTAGATGCTGAAGACTATCTGCTCCAGGACATGTACAATTTGATTACACTCTGCAGCAGTGAGATGGTTATGTAATGAGTTCTGGACTTTGAAATGAGGTTTTGTAGGTGGCTGCTTCCCATCAGCTGTCAAGTTTATATCAGAAACAAGGCAACCAAAGACAAAGATGGGAATGACAAAGACAGCCATCAGCACTGTCATCAGCACTACTTCCTCCTACAGACAAAGTTTCCACTTTGATGTAAGGCTGCAAGATCAGGATCCCTTTACTGAACACAATCAATGAAACACAGATATTGGAGTATGTGACTATTGGAATGCTCTATCTTCATGTCCCTAATTGTATGTAATTGACTTGTGAGTGCCATATATATGTGTTGGCTGGACATCAGCTCACCTCACTGGGAAAGCCATTGAATTTCCCTTTCTTCTCACACATAGCCAAAAGCAAAAGAAGAAGGTCATGGGGAAAGCTGTATACATTCTATGAAGATGTCAACATGAAGTTTGCAAAATAAATTTGTAAATATTTTATATTCCAGGTACACTGTTACATCAGTTTTCTGACACACATGTGCTAGAGCACAGCTTTTGTTTGCACTCTCAAATAACAGATCCCTGCTCCATCCACTGCACAGGTTGCAATGGACTACAATTGAGCAAACAAGAATATATTTTTCAAGTCATTATAATTCTTACCTGAAAAGCCCAGGCTTATCTATCCTGAGTCAACTTTCTAGGAGTTCGATGCCTAAGCCTGAACTACTTGATACAGTGTCTCATTGTAAACAGTGAAGAGAAATGTATACCTATAAAGCATTATGCATCATTTCCTAAGAGCTGATAAAAAGTGATGAGGTTTACCATTTTCTTAAGATGCGCATAATTTCCTATTAACCACTAAGGCAGTGAAACTTGATTAACTTTGGCATGCATTAATAGTTTTACAGTATTTATAGCCTGTGTGTTTATGTACCTACATTAAATTGTAGATATAGAGCAAAAATCTCAGAAAATCCTGCTTAAATGAATTTGATCCACATAAAATGTTTAATACCTATTGAAAGGTACTTTTCCAAACAATATTTCAACTAGGATTCTCTGCATCCCTGAAAGAACTTAACATAAGAATTGCACACATATATATTCACTTGGAAGAACACAATGCAGTGAAAAATAAGAGATATTCATGGTTGAACCATGGTTTAAAAACAAAAACACACATTATTCGTGATTTTGTTCTTGTTTAATTACTTCTTGTGCAAATGAAGGGGCTCAGAGCTCCTTACAGTCATGCAGTGCTGGCTGTCTTATCCTGTGGCACAGCAAGAACGATCAGTATCTCTTTAACAAAGCTCTGCTTCCTTTCTTTGAGCTGTTCAAATGATATACAGTCACTACGAAGGAAAAATGTGCATACGCTCACTGCAGCTTTGCCACAAAGAAGTTTGATTCCATGATAGACTGCTACATTCTTCTTTATTCCCAAAGCTGCAGGTTCTTCTTAAAGAAGAAAGGCCTGAGATAATCTTAAATTTTGTCCAAACAGTGGCCTTTTTACTTAGAAAACTGAATAGTGCCTGGAATTTTATATTAAGATTACCACGGTTCTGTCAAGAAAATGTAGTCCAGGTAGTAGAATGAGCAGGGCACCATTCCTAAAGCCTAACTGGGGTCAGTCACTTGGTTTGTTGAGCTGCAGGCTGCAAAGAATATAAATTATCCTCTATTCTGGGAGATGTTTTCCTGAAATAAAGTCTCCTACCGTGCAATTTTGGCCTAAATATGGAATGATCAGAGCCAGTAGTCAGTAACATATCAGTAAAACATTTTCCCCCCAAACAGAAAACATTTAAGGTTCAATACAAAGTTTGACAATCAATGTGAATCTCAAGGAGAAGTGACCACACTCTCATAATCTTAATGAAATTGAATTAGCTCTTTTATTCATGAGAAAGTTGATAAGCTGAGCTTCTTAAAACCATTTAAGAAATCTGGTGTCTGAATTATTTCTACTCGTCTGTGCCAAAGGAAATTCAAAAAGCAATAATTTCAGTTGAAAAAACACAGCTTGATGTTTTGACAGCTAGGAAGATTCTTTTTGCCTTTCTTTTGGAGAAACAGAATTGTTTTATTTTAGAGCAGCAGATCACAATGAGAACTCGTGTCCTCACCAAGTACACTTCATTCACCACGAAATAGAAACACGGTTCTCTTTTCCCAACTTATCCTGTTACCAAGAAGTAGGAGATCATTCATGTTTCCCATAAGATGAGAAAAGTTTGAACTGTTCAGATGAAAGCTACAGCCTGGAGAAGTAGATGGACTGCAGGAAACACAGCTGACTGTAGCTCTGTTTTGCAATACATGCAACAAATCAGGCTACATGAGATTTCCTTCTTGGCTACTTTCTTAGTTAAAAGTAAGAATACACAGAACGTATCTGTGGCTAAAGGAGTTGTTTTGCATTGCAAGCTGAGAAATATTTAAACCAGTATTTCATACACAGAAGTAGCCTGGGAAATAGAGGTGGCAATATTGGCCCGTACCGTTTCCTTCCCATAGTGGGTGTGACGGTTGGTTTGCCTGTCTCTCCTTTTTTTTTTTTTTGGCTGTATCACCCAGACCCACAGAACTAGGCAGCTCAGTTGAAGGCAAGCGTCCTTTATCAGGTCCTTGCAGCCTCCAGCTCTCCCGCAGTGCCTTCAGCCCTTGACACCAACATGAGGTTCAAGTTCTCGATCATCGCTCTTCTTCTGGAAGCGGTCTTCATCGTTTTGTTTGGGCTGTTTGTGGAGTATGGCGATGGGGACAGCTATTCGTATCCGTGTAAGTACTGCCGAGATTCACAGAAGTTAGAATTGCTTTCAACTAATCCTAACCAACACTTCTGAATACTTTCTTTACAAGGAGAGTGGTTAGGCCCTGGAACGGGCTGCCCAGGGAGGTTGTGGATGCCCCATCCTTGGACGTGTTCAAGGCCAGGTTGGACGGGGTCCTGGGAAACCTGATCTAAATGTGTATGTTTGGTGACCCTGCTAGGCAGGGGGGTTGGAACTACATGATCCTTGAGGTCCCTTCCAACCCAGGTGATTCTGTGATTCTGAATAACTTAGGGGATCAACTAACGTAGCTTGAAAAGAAAAGCAGACCTTGGGGCAAAGAATCTTCTGAAGGTGAGATCAGTAGACTTCAAAGATGAATTCAGGTTGTGCACATGCTGGAAATGATCCCTGGCCCATCGTGAGCCAGGCTACAGCTACAACTGCACAGTAATTTATCATCTCAGACAATTGTACTGTAACATGCTGCTATATGCTTATGTAATGTTATATTGCTGTGTAACTATATAGTAGTTACACAATTGTACTGCAGCAGTAATAATACAGCTATTTCCTAAGATGCCTCTCCACCTACCTCTTCTCTGGCTGGCCTCCAAAACAGCACAACAGCAAATGACATAACAACAGTGTCTGGGGAATCCTGGTAAAATTTAGTAAGCCAGAAGGATGTTTTCTAGGTCATGTATCCTTCAGATTCAGATTAAGTTCCATTGTCCCTACAAGAAAACAGAAAATTGCCTTCTCCTGAATGTCATACCTACTGGTACTAACTTGTCCTATACTTTCTTGGTATTCCTCTTGCCAAGTAAAATGAAGAAAGGTGTCTGAGATCCTTATGCTTATTGTAGCAGTTAAACAGCCTTGAGTGGCCATTTACACTTCTGTGATAACTGTTACTGAACTTCAGGTGTTCCGAAGGGAGATATCTGTGCTATCTAAAATGCAAGCTATTAAATTAGGGATTGCCTAACGTCTTTCATTCTTTAAGCAGGACAGAAAGTTTGGCTTGTTTCCCCTCTGTCTGCCTTCCTGCACAGGCAGTGTATGACTATGCTGTAATCTGTGTGCTGTACCAAGTTGTTCACACTACAGAACCGCTAGCAAGATTCTGGCTCAGGTAGAGCAGCACTTTGACCTCCTCCTAGGCATAGCAAAAAACAGAGGTTGTTTGTGATGGGCAACACAGGTGGGAAAGGTGCTTTGGAAGGGAAGAGCACGTACAGATACAAGTCAAGCCATGCCACGTGCCCTTTAGCCAGAGGACAGCTCTGGGCTGTTCAGTTTACTAGCACAGATGTAAACGAAGAGAACACCACCAACTTGATGTTGGACTTTATGATGCTGACCTGGCAGTATGTAAATCTAATCCTTGGTAAACAACTGGAAGGAAAGAAGAATGTCCTAACACCTGTATTTTCACTTGTAGACCCTCTTCTTCTCAAACATCCCTATCAGCAAAGTGCATACCGGCAGTTTGCAGAAGCACCTGGCAGGCAGTTAATGGCAGAGTTGTGTAAGTGATTTGGGATATATCCTGAGTCAAGACTTTCCCTGAGTTCCCGTATTGATAGCTTCAAACTTCCTTCCATGTTATCCCAAGGAGCCCTGAGTTGGTAACTTCACCTGTAGCTCACAAGTTTAGTTACATCTTCCAGTTACATCTTGCACTCTCAAAATTGCAGGGCAGGGCCTGACTGTACACCTTAAATATCTCAGCACCATAAATCCAAGATTTTTGGTGGTTTTGGACTCATTCATTAGAATGGTGAAAATAATCATTGATGACAATTGCAGTTTTGCACTAAGATAAGGGGGACCTAGCTGAAATTTTTCTCCAAACAAAGCTTTTCATTCTGTTTCTGGAGGAAGTTATTACAGGCAGAGTTACTTGGATGGTCAACTTTAGGTTTTATGCCACTAAAATGGGAAGACATGGGTTTGAGATGATTTCACAGGTACTCCTATGGAATTTCTTCAGTGCTGGCATTTAAGGTATTGCCATAGACCCATGATTCATCTTGCTAAAAATATTCTGGATCCCTTCCCTTCAAGTTTGTAAGGTAACTGCTTTCAGCAGAACAAAGCTGCAGTTTAAGTATACACATAGCTGTTTAAGTGTATTTGCATTAAGACTCACTATCATGCATTGACCTTGTAGGGAAATTAGTATGTTGGTCTTTGGCAGCCTTGGCAGAATCACAGGCAGTTTCTTTGTTCAGGATCTGCTGGAGTATTTTTCCCAGTATTTCTCTTCCTGCCTCACAGAATGGAAGAACCACACTCTGTTAAACACAACTAGTTACTGAAACAGATTATTTCAAAGTCCTTTGCTTTCTTCATCATTTCAAATCATTCTAGACCTACTGTTCTTTAGTAGAAGGTGCAAAAGGTAGCTTGAGCACAAGGAATGAGCTAGATCAGTTGCAAGTCTTCACTCAGCTTGTGAAATGGATTACATGTCATATTTGGGACTGGGATAAGATTCCTTATAGTACACTTCAAGTGAGAGCTGAGCACAAAGAAACCCCATAGAAGGGTAGAGCAAAAATTAAGTTCCTCCATCAGGGTGTCTTTGAAACCTGTTCTTTTGCTCATGTGTAGCGTCAGGTTACTTAGACATCTCCTACAGTAGGTAAGATTGAGTGAGATGCTAAATACATGAATCCTGCATAAGATGAATACCACGTCTCTAGGCACCCTGTGCCAATTCTTCACCACTTTCACTGAAAGACTTCTTCTTTATATCCAATCAAAATCTACTCTCTTTAAATTTGAAGCCATTTCCCCTCATCCTATCCCACAGACCTTAATGGTTCCTCATAGAAAATCATTTCAAAAACAGAAGAAAAAAGTTTTACAGAGGTTCATACAGAGAAGCACCACCGCCTTACTTTAATAAGGTTCTTCTCCTAAACATTCCCTACCAATTTTCTCTGACATGAGGATACAGGCAAGTTAAGCTGTGTTTGCATCCCTGCACTCAAAAGGAAACTAAAAAAATTGCTGCTGGTAAAATTAGAAAGATTGTATTAGCATTGTTTGCACTGCCCTTACCATAGTTTTTCCATTCATTGCAAGGCACTTTGAAGGAACGAAATCATTTGAGCTCGAAGGCAGCTATTAACTTTCACTGAACACTGCAGTACAAGATATTCAAGAGTATCAAAAGTGTGGAAACCCAAACAGAAGAGCTGTTTCTGTATCTCTTAAAATGAGCATTAGGTACAACACAAGAGCTTGAAAAGTAGTTCTGGGAACAGTAACAAGGAGGAAAATGGGGAGTTCCCAAAGGACTGCAGGAGCCTCAAAAATAATTTCAAATTATTGAAGTCAGGAAATAAATTTGAAAATGTTTGGCCTAAAAAAGAAGCTGAAGGGTTGGGGGTGTTTGAGAACCACCACATTTCTACAATAATGTTAGATGTGTGTAGACAACTGTAAAGAATGTTACTACTGGCATGCTTCCATTTCAGGACTGAAGTACAAATATAACAGGGTTTATTAAGACTCTCCAGGAGCTTATTGTACTTCTGGGCCCTCTTTTGGCTAAACACAGAAACACATATAGCAAAACAATAGGAATGTCAAAAGCACCTAAATGTGGAATGTAACTTCAATCAAATATTGTAATAATTAGGTCAATGTCTCAAGTCTCTGTGTGTTTACATGTAAGAATCAGCAAAATAGAAATGGACAGAATGAGCTTTTCTCTGCTGGGCTAACAAAAAAAAAAAAAAAAAAAAAAAAGAGAAAAAAACAATTACTGGGTTCAAATCTTGTGGATGTAGTGTTCATTAAATTGCATAAAATTCTTCAGACTAACCTTTTTTGAAATATAAAATATCCATGTTGTGGTGAAGCACTGGCACAGGTTGCCCAAGGAGGCTGTGGATGCCCCATCCCTGCAGGCATTCAAGGCCAGGCTGGATGTGGCTCTGGGCAGCCTGGGCTGCTGGTTGTTGACCTGCACACAGCAGGGGGTTGGGACTGGAGGAGCGCTGTGGTCTTTTTCAACCCAGGCCATCCTATGATTCTATGATTCTATGGTGATAAATTTAGTTTATATTAAAACTAAGTTCAAAGAAGGACTAGATGGATCAACAACAATATTGCTTGGATGGATCAACAACAATATGGTTTAGTGCTAGTGGTGGCAATGGTGATGAGGAGACGGTTGGACTAGATGATCTTGTAGGTCGTTTCCAACCTTGTGATTCTATGATTCTATGATTCTATGCTGTTTGAAAGAAAAATCATATTTGAAGCAGGGCTAAGTTTATGCTACTTAGCAACATTAAGACATTTAGGGCCATATATAAACTGTTAAATTCAAAGTAGGCAGTTGAAGAACTCAATCTGTTCTACAACACTTTGTTAAGAATCACAAGCATACTTTTGCCCAGTGCCAACTAGTAGACTCTCAAAACAACCTCTTGCACATTTTTGAAGTTGGCCAGGATGTGATGGATGCAACAACCTTTATTTCAAAGGAAAGAAAAATTTTCTGCAAGGACATGAAGCTGTGAAGTTCCACATGGCTTCAGGTCCAGATGAAAGCTATGGGCATATTAATGTTGTTCACATAGAGATCTAGTGTTCCTTGCATAATGATAAATTATAAAAACAACCAATTTTTTTTCCAAAAACTCAGCTAAAAGGCAGGTCAGAAAGGATGGAACACACTGATAACATAAGTGTAGAATCCTTTCAATTTTCAGCTAAATCTTCCTTTATCCCTATATATTCTTCTCTCAAGTCACTGTCAGACATCTTCTTCTTTCAGACTTTAAGGACGTCCATGTGATGATATTTATTGGATTTGGTTTCCTGATGACCTTTCTGAAGAAATATGGATTCACCAGTGTTGGTATCAACATGCTCATTGCTGCCTTTGGTCTTCAGTGGGGCACTCTAATGCAAGGATTCTTGCACAGGGGTGAAAGAGGGAAAATTCATGTTACCATTGAAAGGTACGTATGAAATTTTCCAGAAATGAAACTTCTATCCCTTAAAATATCAGAATAAAGATACAAAATCTGTGAGATTAGTTTTCCAAACTCATGAATTTCTGATGGAACACTGCTATCAATCTTTTTATCTTTCACCCAAATAGCAGCACCTGCTGCACTGGGTCAAGGGAATGCAGGATGAACTCTGAGCTGACAAGTTACATGTGGAACATAAGCCATGTAGAGAGACTGAATGGAATCTCTGGAGCTGTGCAAACAGGAGAATTCTCAGCAGTAGTGGGGCTCCCTCCTGCACCCAGCAGGCACAGAGGGATCTGTTCTTCCATGGCACACGGGGTCACAAAGGAAAGGCTTGAGCAATCTGTCAATCCACACATGAGGTTTTCTCCTGCTTAGGAAGGAATAATTGGTGCAAACACAGGGTTTGGAGCCCAACCTCAGAAGAAGGGACTTCACAAGTAATGCTTCTAGGTGCTTTTAATCTCTCCTCCATTGATCCATCTTGCTTTTAGCAGGGTCTCAGAGTGTTTCCATGTATGCAGTTCTGCTATCTAAGAAAACTTGCAGAAGATTTTGAAAGAAACCTCATCCCAAATGGTTAGGGATAGACATCTTCAACACACACCTCTTCCAAATTTTGACTGTGATCTCAGACAGCTGAGTAGGAGGCAATTTCCCCACATTTTCTCCTCAGCCTTCTATAAGATGCCCACACAACCCAACTAGGAAATTCTGATGTAATTTTTATCCACAAAAGAAGATTCTTTGTGACTTTGTTTGAAGATTTACTGCTCTGTCATTTAATGACATAACAAGTTTGAATACATCTTTATTTCAGCTCCCATTAAGCTGATTTTCTCTCTCATTTCTCGTTGGTTTGCTTGCATTTGTTTTCTCATCTTCAGCATGATAAATGCAGACTTCAGCACAGCAACTGCTTTGATTTCATTTGGAGCAGTCCTGGGGAAAACCAACCCTGTTCAAATGCTTCTCCTGACGTTTCTGGAGATCACAGTCTTTGCAGTCAATGAATATCTAGTTACGGAAATATTTAAGGTACAACTATTTACAAATAATTGTTTCCTGTTCTCACAATTTCCTGTTGTAACACGTTTTCACTGTGTAATGTTTCCAGTCATGCAGGAAATCAAATCCTCATTTCTTTGTTGAGTAAATGTTGTGCTACTATTTCGGGTCCCTGATACAGGCTACAGATATTGGAGCCTCAATGACCATCCATGCCTTTGGAGCTTATTTTGGTTTGGCTGTAACGCTCATTTTGTATCGTCCTGGCTTGAAAAACAAGCATGAAAATGAGGAATCTACCTATCACTCAGACATATTTGCCATGATTGGTAAGTAAAAGTAGCACAGCAAAGTAATACTGAGAGATTAAGAGTCTTCTACTCCTCTTTTATCCATATGTTTTTATGATCACCTATTATTATGCTTCCCCACTACTGAATGTTAGAAACCACACGGGTGTTGAATTGGGTTTTCATCCATCTGCCCACCAGATCTAGTCATAGATCAATTTATAATTGAAAGCTATCAGTTCTATCAATAAATGACCAAAGATTTACATGTGAACTCCCTCACTAATGTATCCTGCTCTGGCATTTTCACAGTGATAGTGAGCTCTAACTGTGTGGGGCACAGTGAGGGGTTGCAATATGTTAAAGTAAGATTTGTCAGAATGCATCAAAATCCCAACTTCCAGAGTCAAAAGCTTCTGCATTGACTGCTATTTCTTCCAGCATTTTCAGTTATTTTACATTTTCCTTGACCATCTTCCTCATTTCTTGTACTTAGTGCTGTTGTATTGGATCTTTCACAGTGAAACACCTCTTCTGACCAAATTGTTTTCATTTTGTTTTGACTTTTGCCCATCCAGGTACCTTGTTCCTTTGGCTTTTTTGGCCCAGTTTTAACTCTGCAATTGCAGATTTAGGTGACAAGATTAAAATAATTATCAACACTTACTACGCCCTGGCAGCATGTGCTGTTACAACATTTGCCCTCTCCAGCCTGCTGGATCAAAGAGGCAAATTCAGTATGGTAAGAGTCCTACCACTACCTCTGCTAAATCAAGAAATCCCCTATAATACAGGTGATAGATTGGTTCCCAGTGTCCATGAGCTAGCTGAAGCCCCTGCACTGCAGACACAACCAGGGTTGTCATGCTTCAGAAAGCTGCAATGTCATATTGCACTCTGAGTCAACCCACTCTGCTTTGTGTATGTGATTTGGTTCCCCAATGGGATCACTGCATCTGAAGAGAAGAATGCTCTTAGGTACTATCAGGATGGTTCCACTCTCTCACCTGTGGAACCTGCTGACATTGGTTCATTTAGAAGGACATTTGGGTCTTATTCAAAAGATGATCTTGCCTGAGTTTTTCTTTTGCAATACTCAAAAGAGGTCGACTGGCTTAGAACTGCTTTGAACCAGCACCCTCAACTCATAACAGGGAACTGTTTTAAATTCCCAATTGTTTTTCATTGTAAAAATCCCTTACAAGTCATTCAGCCCCAAAACAAACCTCAGTTCCATGTCTAACAGCTTCATGGTTGCACACTGTGCAGGTTCTCATTCAAAATGCCACCCTGGCAGGAGGAGTAGCAGTGGGTACCTGTGCTGACCTGACAATACACCCTTTTGTTGCCTTGTGCATTGGGAGCATTGCTGGGATCATCTCTGTCCTGGGGTTCCACTTCCTGACTGTAAGTATCCAGGACCTGCCTCTGCTCTCACTCACATACTGCTTCACCAACTTCACTGGAGCTTGCTTTCTTTAACAGAAAGAAACTGGCTGATAAACTGCAGAGAGTAAATTCTCTTTTATTTTCAAATTATTATTTTGAAATGCATGTGATTAAAATATATTCTTATGAGATGACTTCAGTGGCTGAAAACATTGGGAACATCACTGACATTCCTTGTTCTGTAGTGCTATATTTATGATGGGAACTTGGACATCTGTGGCATTAGAGGTACTCACTTGATTTTGAACTACATTTCCCCTCATTTCAGCCTGTTTTGGCATCCAAGCTGAAAATTCAAGACACATGTGGAGTCCATAATTTACACGGCTTACCTGGAATACTGGGAGGCATTGCTGGCATCATAGTAACTGCAGTACAACATGAAACTAAGTAAGTAATATTCAGAAAAGAGAAAGAAGTTTCCTTTACTGAAGATCTATTTTAATTTTTCACTCTCCTTGGATCTAATTATGATTTATTTTCAGAAAACCTACTGTAGGGAACTGCTTTCACAGGGGTTGAACTAGATAACTCCCAGAAGTCCCTTCCAACCCCTACAGTTCTGTGATTCTTTGAAATTCACCTTTGATTAGATTTCAGATCAGTGTTCTGAAACACTGAGCACTGGAATAAGCTGCCCGGGGAGGTGGTTGAGTCACTACCCCTGGATGTGTTTAAAAACTATTTGGATGTGGTGCTCAAGGACGTGATTTAGCAGAGGGTTGTTAGTTAGGGTAGGATGGTTGGGTTGTGGTTGGACTTGATGATCTTTAAGGTCTTTTCCAACCTGAGCAATTCTATGATTCTATGATTCTATTATTCTGATTTAAATGGGACTGTTCTTGGTATCCCGTCATTAACATGGTTTATATGCAAAGCTTGTTCCACATTCAAAGATCAGATAAAAATTTAAACAGTTGTCAAAAAAATAAATAAATCACCCTTCAGAAGTAGAAAAGTCATTCTCCTGCTTCTACAATCAAACCTCAGGCAACAGAAAGACTTACAAGAAAAACACCAATCAACAAAATGGTCCATTTCCATTCTCTTAAGAAGATCACAAGAAGATGGAATGGTAGTCTTTTTGATAAAGGGAAACATTTTATGAAGATTGAGAACATGTCAGTAACCTTTTCAAAGAACTTGTGTTAAACTATAATCCAAAACAAAACCAAAATACAGGCTGTCCCATATGACTTCTGCAGTGGCCATGGCAATGAAAGGTTATTTTCCAACAAGTCGTTCTGTCCAGCAGAGAGCAAACATAAAGTTGTGAAACCAAACCTCACCCTGTACTTTCATAGTTTTCAGTGTTGACTTGTTTTTCTGTCTGTTTCAGGGGAGGTGTCCAACTTACCGCTGGCAAACAGGCTGCTGCCTTGGGCAGCACAATTGGAATTGCACTGCTTGGTGGAGCATTGACAGGTCAGTTCACATACAGTGCACGTACACAGTTCATAACTGCACACAGCAGTTGAAATATATAGGATGTTAGAGATGTGCTCGTGGAGAATTTCTATCAATCTATCAATAATTTCACCAGAAAACTAGGAAATGGAAAGACAGAAAAGAGTAAATCATGATAGCATGCTAGCAGAATCATGAATATGGGAAAGGCAGTTTCTCAACCAGTCTTCAAACAGCAGATAGATATCTTACTGAATCTTACCTTCAAAGGTACTGGTTTGTATACAAAAAGCACTATTGCTGCTCCAGTGGAAGTTCTGCTCTAGATTCAGAAACTTAAAATGCTGAACAGAAGCTAGTTTGAGATTAGCTCACGACCCATTGGGTGTCCCATGTTTTCATGTCATTCTGTTGCTCCTATATAGATGTCTCATTCTATAGTAGGGTGACTGAGACATCCGTAGGAAACTGGTAGATACAACACAGGATTTACAGGAGAGCTGTGTCTGGCCCGTATCCATTGGGATCTCAACCATATTTCCCATCTTTTCTGCTTTGTATATGGAGAAGAGCGGGCTGAGACATTTTAGTGATTTCTTTTAATTTAATATTGTTAACTAAATCACTATAACATATTTCCTCCCAAAAGCTTGATAGTGGTGCCTTCCTTAGTCCCAGAGTTGTACTAAAGGACGTGATTTAGTGAGGAAATGTTAGTGATAGGTGGATGATTGGACTGGATGACCTTAGAGATCTTTTCCAACCTTGGCAATTCTATCATTCTATAATTCTATTCCAGGACATATCTGAAGAATGTATTTTTGGATATAGTTTTTTTCAACTTCTGAGGTCTTTTTATCTGCAGGTGCTATTCTAAAGCTGCCCATCTGGGGACAAGTATCTGACCAGAACTGCTTTGATGACTCCGCTTATTGGGAGGTAAGATACAAACCACTGTTAAAACAAAGGAACTATATTTTCATCATGTTAGAAGAGATACAACACATGGAGGTTTGGACATCAGTCAACTTCCAAACACGTTGCCCAGCCTTAGGCTGTGAATTTATCAAGGCAAACTACTAGATTTATTTTTGACCAGCCAACTAGTCATGCTTTGAATGAAAAGCAGAAATAGAGCCAAGAAATTGAGGCCTCAGTGGAGTTCTTTACATCTGCAGAGAGAAAATTGGAAAGGCAAAAGCCCAGCTTGAACTCAACCTGGTCACTGGAGTAAAAAGGAACCAGAAACTCTTTTACAGATATATCAATAGTAAGAGGAGGACCAAGAAGAATCTCAGAGAATCACAGAATCATAGAATGGCCTGGATTGGAAGAGATCTCATGAAGCTCCAACTGCCTGCCACAGGCAGGGCCACCAACCTCCACATTTCATAGCAGCCCAGGCTGCCCAGGGCCCCATCCAACCTGGCCTTGAACACCTCCAGGGATGGACGGGGCATCACAGCCTCTCTGGGCAGCTGTTCCAGCACCTCACTGCTCTCATAGCACAGAACTTCCCCCTGACATCCAACCTCCATCTGCCCTTCCTCAACTTCAAACCATTTCCCTTTGTCCTGCAGTTATCCGCCTTTCGAAAAGTTGATTCCCCTCCTGTTTGTAGGCTCCCTTTAGGTGCTGAAGGCTGCACTGAGGTCACCCCGCAGCCTTTTTTTCTCCAGGCTGAACAAGCCCAGCTCCCTCAGCCAGTCTTTTAGTGGAGGTGCTCCAGTCCCATGATCATCTTTGTAGCCTCCTCTGGACCCTCTCCAACAGCTCTGTTTTTCTTGTTTTGTGGGCTCCAGACCTGGACACATTACTGCAGATGGGGCCTCACATGAGCAGAGTAGAGAGGGACAATCACCTCCCTGTCCCTGCTGGCTACTCCTCTTCTGATGGAGCCTAGTATACCATTTGCTTTTCGAGCTGCAAGAGCACACTGCTGGCTCATGTCCAGTTTTTCATCCATCAGGACCCCCAAATCCTTGTACTGCAGGGCTGCTCTCAAGGACCACTCCTTCCAGTCTGTATAAATGCCTGGGATTTCTCTGGCCCAAGTGGAAAACCTTTCACTTTGCTGTGTTCAACTGCATTAGATTCACCCAGGCCCATCTTTCAACTCTGTTGAGGTCCCTCTGAATTGGCGTCCCTCCCTTCCACAAAGAAATCTCCAATCTTTACTGGATGAGGCTAGGAATGTGACCACTGAGGATAAGGAAAAGGCAGAGGTTCTGAATGCTTTCTTTACATCTGTTTTTAAAGGTCACACCAGTTATCCTCAGGGTACTCCACTCTCTGACCTGGTAGTCTTGGCTGGGGAGCAGACAAAACCTCCCACCATTCAGGAGGACACAGTCAGAGACCTACTAGTCCAACTGGGCTGCCACAAGTCCATGGGGCCGGATGAGATTCACCCAACAGAGCTGAGGGAACTGGTGGAAGTGATAGCTGAGCTGATTTCCATCATCTATCAGCGCTCCTGGTGATAGATGGACCTGGGGTATTGATTGATGCCAGCAAAACATGAGCCAGAAGTGTGCCCAGGTGGCCAAGAAGGCCAATGGCATCTTGGCTTGCATCAGGAACAGGGCAGTGATTGTTCCTGTGTACTCAGCTCTGGTGAGGCCGCACCTCGAGTGCTGTGTCCAGTTTTGGGCCCCTCACTGCAAGAAAGATATTGAGACCCTGGAGCGGGTTCAAAGAAGGGCAAAAAGCTGGTGAGGGGTCTGGAGCACAGGGCTGATGAGGAGCAGCTGAAGGAGTTGGGATTGTTTAGCCTCAAGAAGAGGAGGTTCAGGGGAGACCTCACTGTTCTCTATAACTTCCTGAAGGGAGGTTGTGGTGAGCTGGGGGTCGGCCTCTTCTCTCGTGTAACAGTGATAGAACTTGAGGGAATGGCTCCAAGCTGTGCCAGGGGAGATTCAGGCCGGACATTAGGAAATAGCACTGCTCCAAAAGAGTGGTCAGGTACTGGAATGGGCTGCCCAGGGAGGTGTGGAGTCACCGAGCCTGGAGGTGTTCAAGGAACGTTTGGACGTTGTGATGAGGGACAGGGTTTAGTGAGAACTATTGGCGATGGGTGGATGGTTGGACTGAGTGATAGTGTGGGTCTTTTCCAACCTTGGAGATTCTGTGATTCTATTGTATTTATATTCAGAGAATCATAGAATCGTGTAACAGTTTGGGTTGGAAGGGACCTTTAAGATCACCCAGTTTCAACACCCTGCTATAGGCAGGGACACCTCCCTCTAGTCCAGGTTGCTCACAGCCCCATCCAGCCTGGCCTTGAAGGACATCAAGGGAGGAGACATCCACAGCCTCACTGAGTAACATGTTTCAGTGTCTCACCA